CGCGTATACGAATATGGCTGTTTGCATAGTGCCTGTAGCCAATCCCTGTAACAAACATCAGCTCAGACATATTTGTGTCTATCTGAAAAACCAGAGCTTACCTGTATTTTTATGCCGCAACTATTCTGAGCGGACATTCTGGAGGAGAACGCATTATCTGACGTGATCAACAGTCTGAACAAGGCCAATACACTCAAACCCTGGGTGTCAATGACTTATGAATTCGTGCTAGCATAGCCACCAACTGTTCCATCTACCCACTACCACTCACAAGTCTTGGATCAACCCATGGTATGGATTTTAAGATTATTTCCAAAGCTGCCGCACACTGGGATCGACTTCCCACGTCGATAACCTCGATAATTGATCAGCGCGGCTTCACTGTCGACTTGCTCGATGATCAAGCGTACCAAATGAAAGTTGTCTTGAATACTATTACCCTTCAGTGCACAACTCTTCTCGGAGCCAATCAAACTAGGGACAGCCTGCAAGCGGCTGGCTAAGACCGTGATTAAAATCTTTTGGTGGAGTAATGGTTAGCGGCGTGGACTGAGGAATCGGAGAGGCGAGTTCGAATTCCAGTCGAATCCATTGCGTTCACTTACGTGCTAATACCCTTGGAAAAGTCGTGAGTCCTCTTTTTCTCCCCGCAGATATGGGTAAATATCAGGACAAACTGGTTTCTTATAGCCTTGGAGGGCAAATGGTCAACCGCAGAAAGAAATGGCAAGCTACTGCCGGAATAAAAATCTTCCTTGTCAGTCATATATCAAACGATACATGATCGCCTAAGCGTGTATCACGCTTGGCATATAACTGACTCTAAGGCCGATAATAAGCTGTCTAATCTCTAGAACTTTTGTCCTTACGTTCCTCGTGAGGTTCGAACCCGTATCTCATGATTGGGTTATTTGAAAATTATTTTTTGAATCATTTCACTCCAAGCAAGTGGCGTGAAAGAAAATATGAAGACATTCGTCAGGAGAAGTCGAGGAAAAGGACACGCTTCAGGAAGACGGAGGATGACGATTGGCATTGCATTTACATTTTGGAAGTTTCTAGGCGGAAGGGAAGCAATGAATTGGAAGGGAGTTCCAAAAGTCAGAAGAGCGGAAAAATAAACTGTTAGAATAAAAGTGTTGTTTGTATGTAGCTAGTTCACCAAGAAAACAAACAGTGAGACCTATCTGATAATCTCGTAGCGCACTTAAATTCATGTAGTCGAGGCATTAGTGAAAAAAAGGTTATTAGAACAGTTGGCATGGAACTATTTGTAGAACAGACAGAGGGATGCCACGTCACGTCGGCAAGAAAGTGACTGAAGTCCAGAATCGATTACATTACAGATCCGTCTTTGGATTTTGGCAAGAATCCTTATATGCATAGCAGGAACACCAGACCAAATAAGGCAGCACTATTCAATTCAAAGACGAATGGCTGATTTATAAATATGCAAGAGATATTATGAAGAGAAGAACTGCCTGACACAACACAGCATACCAACTTTCGGAGCAGTTGACCTAGCAATTGACTCGATATAGTGAAATAGAATGAGAATACTTTAGTGAGGAAAAGACAATAAAGGAATAAGTTCGGGTGATCCAGATGATGACGATTGACATTGCATTTAAATCTTTGAAGTTTGTTGGTGGTAGGGAAACAAGAAATCGAAGCGGGGTTCCACAGGTAAGAAGTGCGAGAAAAGAAACGTTTAGAATAAAAGTGGCGGTTGCATCTAGCTAGTTCACCAGTAAAGCGGCAAGACAGGGTTGCCAGTCTAGTAGCTTGCTTAAATTCATGAAGTCGAGGCATCAGTTAAAAAAAAAGGTTATTAAATCAGTTGGCATGGAAATATTTGTAGAAAAGACAGAGGGAAGCGACGCCATGTCGGCGAGAAAGTAATTGAAGTCAAGATCCTAAGTCAGAATTGATTAAATTATACATCCGTCTTTGGATTTTGTCAAGAATCCCGAGATGGATAGCAGGACCACCAGACCAAATATGGCAGCATATATTCAGTGCACGGACGAATGGTAGATTTATAAATGTGCAAGATGGATTCTGAAGAGATTTTTTTTTCTGACACGACACAGCAAACCAAATTTCCTTGCACTAGCACCAGACGTAGTACTTGATTTAATATAGTCGCTCATTTCAAGTCTGTGGAAAACGGGACCCCAATAAGGCATAAGACCCAGACCGCAGATGTGCAGTCCTTCGTCTATCTCGGTTCAACCATTATACCATCCGGCCAGGCTGCTGCTGAGCTTGAACGCCGTATAGGAGCTGCAAGGTCCGCATTCGTGCATCTCAAGCGGTCACTATGGGGGAGACTGGAGATTTCCACGGCTACGAAGGGGCGCATCTTTGAGGCTATTGTTCGAACTATCCTTCTCTATGCCTGAGAAACGTGGCCACTTAGAACGGTTGACCTACGAAGGCTTGAAGTGTTCGAAAACGATTGCCTTCGCTGCATTCTACGATGCCGCTGAATCGATCGTGTGCCCACAACCACTCCATCCTTCTCTTCCTGGCTGGCGAAGACGTATCGGTGGGCAGCTGATGTGGAATTAACAGGAGTTAACTGATATCTGACCCAGTGAGCGAAATAAAAGGTTCAGTTCGACATTCCAACCACCTGAAGACGGTCGGAGCGTACAACAGTCCGAACAATAGTCCGAATAATGTAAATTGTGAACTATGGTACTGTTGTTGAAAACGAAGGATATAATATATATATATATATATATATATATATATATATATATATATATATATATATATATATATAGAGAGAGAGAGAGAGAGAGAGATTTTTACTTATAATATAGAATATAGACTTATAAACCCTACCAAGACAGAATTAGGTAAAATAAGTAAAATAATTCTGCAGGATATATGTAAATACCTTAGGACTTTCCTTAATATTAACCAATGGCAATCTACTAAGGATTGCATTAAATGGTTTGGAAATTACAACAAAAATAAAAAGTGTTCATTCATTAGGTATGATATTAAGGAGTATTATCCGTCTATTTCAGAGAAAACCCTAAATGAATCCCTCAGCTTAGCCAAAGAATACATCCAAATTTCTGATGATAAAATAAATCTAATTAGACATTGTAGAAAAACATTGCTATTTCACGATAATACTTTATGAATAAAAAAAGATAATATTAACGGTTTTGACAACCCTATGGGAGCGTATGATGTAGCAGAGGTGTGCGAGATAGTCGGGTGCCTGCTGCTCCATAGGCTTAATGAATATATAGACTTTAATAACCATGGGTTGTACCGCGACGACGGTTTAATCATAGTGGACAATAGTAACCCTCAAAAATGTGACAATATCCGTAAAAAACTGCACTGGTTTTCTTAAAAAATTCGGATTAAATCTCGATATAGAAACTAATTTGAAAATCACCAACTATCTAGATATTACGTTGAATTTACAAAATGGCACAATATCCCCGTATAAAAAAGAAAACCAAGAACCCCAGTAGATACATAAAATCTAACCACCCAGCCCATATCATAAGGCATATTCCTAAAAATATTGGGTACAGACTTTCTACTAATTCCTCCAATAGGGACATTTTTGAGGCCAATAAAATAAGTTATGAGGAAGCCCTATTTAAGAGTGGACATAAAAATAAATTAGAATATATTAATATAAATAACCACAACAGTACTCAGAATAAACATAATAATAGGCAAAGAAAGATTTTGTGGTTCAATCCTCCTTTTAATTTAGCGGTAAAAACTAAAATTGGCAAGATATTTTTTAACATTCCCCCCACAAAAAAAAAACTGAATTACATAAAATATTCAACAAAAACAATGTAAAACTTAGTTATTGTTACATGCCGAACACAGGGACTATAATAAATGGATTGAATAAGAAAAAAAAACTAGGAATAATCCACGTAGTAATCCTCCTACTTGTAATTGTAGAAACAAAAACATCTGTCCATTACAGGGAAAATGTCAGCAAGAATGTCAGCAAGAATCAAGTGAAAATTTACAAAAATAGTGAGGATACTAACCCTAAAATATACATAGGTGCTACTCAGGATAAATTTAAAAAAAGATATTATAACCACACGAGTAGTTTTAAAAACGCAAAAATTAAACATAGTAACACGTATGTATGGAAAACCAAACAGGAAGATAATATAGACCCCATCCTTAAATGGGAAATATTAAAAAAATGCCCAAAATATAAAGCAGGCCATGAATTATGTGCAGAGGAGAAATTAGCCATAGCTTTATATGATCAACCTAACCAGCTATTAAACTCTAAAACTGAAATCCTTAACGTATGTAGACATAAAAAAATCTTGGCTACTAAATTAGACGTTTTCCCGTTTATTGTCATTCCACCTTGAAGTTTTTTTTTCCCTCCCCATTTTTGTTGAATAAATATTTAAACTTAGGTTTGTGTTTGTGGTTCTTTGGTCACGTGGTATAATTTTAGCTATTGCCTATAAATATGCGTTTCTCTTTGCCTCGTTAGCCTTACTTTCCCTGACGATCCATTTAGGTGAAACCTAGGTAGGTTTGTTTGGCTCACTAGGTCTATCTATCTATTTATCTCTCTCTCTCTATATATATATATATATATATATATGTGTGTGTGTGTGTGTGTGTGTGTTTGTGCGACAAAATGATCTGGCACATTTGTCCGTTTAATAAAAGGGAAACAGAGTAAAGTGCGAAAAATGTGTTTTTATTTTCGATATGTACATTTAATGCCAGTTTGTTTCATTTCTTTTTAAAAATTAAATAGGTGAAGTGGGTACCGTTAGTTTCTACACACTGACAAAGGCGTTCACGAATTTGTCCATAACTTTCATGTGGAATGAGAGCAATTTCTTGACGAATGGCATCCTTTTAACTGTTCAATAGATCGAAAGCGTTGAGTGCCTACCTTTTCATTTCCGGTAGCCCCACAGAAAAAAAAAATCGCATAGATTCAAATCATTTGTTCGGACGGGCGAATGCTCTTCGTTCCCTATTTCTTGTTCTTGGTAAACGTTTCCATAGTTCTAGTCCATCCAATTCATGATGGCCCCTGAAAACGAAATGAAACAAAATGGCTTTATATGCACATTTCGAAAATAAAACAAACTATTTCTTTTTCGCATTTATTAAACCTACAAATGTGTCAGATCATTTTGTACTGTATCGCTCTTCGTCTGAATTGAGCGCTCTGGCTGCTGGTCTAGCGTTTATTTACATCACGTATATAATAAGTTAAAAGTTTGCTTTTATTGTTCAATAGCTTAGATGCAGAGTCTCTGACTAATGCCAAATCGGTAGAGTTTCGATCACGGCTTCAAGCAATCGAATGTCTATGGGTAAAATAGCAGGACAGACTGGGTTCTATAGCCTTGGATGGCAACTGGTCTAGGAGAAGGACAACTCTGAATGTCTATCCTTGTCTATGTCTAGTCACACTTATGAGCTGTGATACAGCGAAACAGTCTGTATGTGGAAGATCTTCAGTAAAATTAATGGAGCAATTCGGTTGTTTGGCGTTTGTTTACATTTGTAAAAACAATACACTAGATTTGGCCGACTCATTCTGTCGAGTGAAAATAGCTCAGTGGTAGAGACTTTGACTGACTGAAGAGTTGCGAAACGATACTGTCTGCGAATGACACACACACACATATATATATATATATATATAATCGACTCTCCCGTCGCGTTCGACGTATGAGGGTCAGGCCGATAAGTCCCCAGGAAACCGACATCCCGACACCGGCACATGAGATTTGATTATAGTGGTGAAAGCCTCGTGCAGGACCAGCCACACTCTTTGGAGGGACGAATACAGAAACCTGGTGCACCGAATGCATACCACAAGGTTCCCAAACGACCCACCGCAGGTTTTGAATTCAGAGTTGTCCTTCTCCTAGACCAGTTGCCATCCAAGGCTATAGAACCGAGTCTGTCCTGCTATTTTACCCATAGCTGGAAGGAGATGAAGAGGATACATACCTTTCCCAAGGGTATTAGCACGTAAGTGAATGTAGTGGATTCGACTGGAATTCGAACTCGGCTCTGCGAATTCCTCAATCTTAGCCGCTATCCACTGTTCCACCGCTCATATATATATATGAAAGAAAAATACAGAAAAAACAAACAAAAATCTGAATAAACAATTATGTAGTGAAATTTAAAAATAAAAGTCGACGTCGGACGTTTGATTATTTAAGACCATCTTCATGGACTTTTTTTTTCAATAATTAATTTAATTAGAACTTTAAAAATGAAAATGTCAAATGAAGATGGACATAGACCGAAACGTCCGACGTCGACTTTATTTTAACATTTTATACATAATTGCATATTTGATTTTTGTTTGTTTTTTCTGTATTTTTCTTTTCATACTGTCGGATCTATATCCATATATTTATTACATATATATTATATATATATATATATATATATATATATATATATATATATATATATATATATATATATATATATATATATGTGTGTGTGTGTGTGTGTGGACAGAAAGCGGTAACTTAAGCTGTCTAATTTCCTTATAATTGAACAGAACTGCTGTTCCTTGCGTAGTAGAGGCAGAGAAGGTTTCTACTATGATTATAATTGAACTGGCCTGAACTAGGTTAGGAGTGCAGCGATTATCAAGATACAGAGAATGCGTCTAATATGTTAATAGCTGGAGGAAACTGTAATAGTGACTTATTTTTATTCATTTGACACAAAGAGGAAACATAAAACAGAGCAAAGTTTTCTTGACAACACATTATTATCACAACAGGGTTCTTTTTTTTTTTGATTTGCATCATATCTAATCTGATTGAACTCTACCTATCATAATCTACCTATCTATATATCACAGATTATTAAGAGAGATCTATGTATCACTTTTATATTACTCTTATTTCAGTGTATCTATCTATCTATCGATATATCTATCTATCACAGATTGTTAAGATATATCTAAGTATCTCTTATCTATTATTCTTATATCAGTTTATCTATCTATCTATATATCTATCTATCTATCTATTTAGCTATCTGTCAGAGATTCTTTATATATATCTATATATCTCTTTTATATTACTCTTATTTCAGTTTATCTATCTATATATATATCACAGATTATTAAGAGAGATCTATGTATCTCTTTTATATTACTCTTATTTCAGTCTATCTATCTATCTATCTATCTATCTATCTATCTATCTATCTATCACAGATTCTTAAGATATATCTATGTATCTCTTTTATATTACTCTTATTTCAATTTATCTATCTATCTATCTATCTATCTATCTATCTATCTATCTATCTGTCTATTTACCTATCTACCACAGATTCTTAAGATATATCTATGTATCTCTTTTATATTACTCTTATTTCAGTTTATCTATCTATATACCACAGATTATTAAGAGAGATCTACGTATCTCTTTTATATTCTCTTATTTCTATCTATCTATCTATCTATCTATCTATCTATCTATCACAGATTCTTAAGATATATCTATGTATCTCTTTTATATTACTCTTATTTCAGTTTATCTATCTATCTATATATCTATCTATCTATCTATCTATTTATCTATCTGTCAGAGATTTTTTATATATATCTATATATCTCTTTTATATTACTCTTATTTCAGTTTATCTCTCTATCTATCTATTATCTATAACAGATTCTAAGATATATCTATGTATCTCTTTTATATTACTCTTATTTCCGTTTATCTATCTATCTATCTATCTATCTATCTATCTATCTATCTATCTATCTATCTATCTATGTCTTATCACTATCTATCTATCTATCTATCTATCTATCTATCTATCTATCTATCACACTTAACAGAACAGCTAGAAATCTGTATCTTCCCAGTTGAGTATCGAGTGGAATAATCCAGTTGAAAGATGTCCTTCCAGCAGGAGGTAATTGAGGTTTGCAGCCAGTAAAATATTAGTGAAAGGAACATGTTCTAAATTGATTACCTTAGCAAGCTGCACTCTCGTGACTGACAAGATGTATTTATATTTTTTACACCAAGGAATTAGTTTCCATTTGCAGAAATATGCGAAAATACTCTGTGACTTAGTTCCTATTTACACGAGACGAATTTCATTGGATTAATTTTTTAAATGTTTTCTGCTTTATCAGTGAATATAAATGATTAATGGGAAAATGGTATTTCATATATATATATATATATATATATATACCCTGTCAATTTCATAATGTGTGTGCGTGTGCATATATATATATATATAGATATATATATATTATGAAATAGGCAAAGTCTGAAAATTATTATTTTTTACGATATTTTTTGTGTTTATAACTTATTTTTATAAATACAAATATTTAAGTAAATGCTCTGTTTATAATAAACAGTATTAATAACATTTATCGGACTAAATGTCCGAGAAATTTACATAAAACATACGCGTCCTCTGACAGTAATTGAACCTGTATCCTATATGGAACCGTCATATAGCCTGACGTGCATTTATCCGATTGGGCCACAGAGGATCGTTTGGTTAGCAAGGTCGATTTTACTGTTTTTAAATACAATTCTCCATGATTTTCTCTCATTGATTCAAATCTGATCAATGCGTATCCAAATGTAAACACATGACGTTATACATTATGTAATGGACAAAGTCTGACAATTGTTTTTATAAAAAAAAACGTATAAACATAAAACTCTGTGGCCCAGTCGGTGAAGGCACGTCATGCTATATCCAGCTTTTCCTGACGATCCGCTTAGGTGAAACCTTGTTAGGTTTTTTCTGGCTCTCTAGGTTTCACTATTTCTGCTCTACTCTTGTATTGAGCACTTTAAAGTTAGTTGATTATCGTATCGGTTTTTTTTTCTTTGGGCTTTGGAGCTGTATGCTGTACGATTATTTTCGACAGAACTTCATATTCCTAGCTCTTTCTTTTTTTAAAAAAACTTTTTTCTTCGAGATTGATTTGACCATTAGCAAATCAAGAAACCGAAGGTTTTTCTAGACGAGTATATATATATATATACATATATATATATATATATATATATAGTCACCCACAGACAGACTGTTTCCTTGTATCACAGCTCCTCAGTTTGACTAGACGTCCGATTTCTTCAAGCCGGGTCCGAAACTCAACCTATTTGGCATCAGTCAGAGTTCCTACTCCAAAATTATCGGCGCACGGCAAAAAAATTGGAAATTGTAGCGTTTGATGCACCAGTGGCCATGAGAACTGAAATCTTACTTTAAGATAAATACATTAATATCAGGAGCAGTAACAGTTTTTAAATTTACCCATTTCTCCGAAATCGAGGGGAGTGTTCGAGATCATATATATATAGTCATCCACAGATAGACTATTTCACTGTACATACATACATATATATATATATATATATATATATATATATATATATATATATATATATATATATATATATATATATATTCAGTAGGGAATGGGTTTAAGACGATATCCGGAAATAATTTCTCTTCTCGTATATACATGGAAATGCTCGGGTAATTCTGAAACATTTAAATCGAAAAGGTAGTGACTTTTGTCTGCAAAATATGGCACCTATTGTGGTCAAAACTGTTATGAGTTAACACTGGATAACAACAATATCGTAACTGTTACACACACACACACAACACACACACACACACACATATACACATATATATATATATATATATATATATATATGTGTGTGTGTGTGTGTGTGTGTGTGTGTGTGTGTGCCATGCAAATTTACCTAGGTTTCACCTAAACGGATCGTCAGCATCGGTCTGAAGATCCGTTTAAGTGAAACCTAGGTAAATTTGCATGGCTCATCATTATCATCTTAGGTTTTGCTCTAATTAGTGTATTGAGCAATCAACAAAATATTCCAATTCGTGTTACAGCATAATTGGTTATACCTCAAAATGTTTAATATAAAAAAAAAATTGGCTAATTGAGTTTAGTCATCTTGACACTGTTTGTCGTAAGAATCACTGGAAAACACTTCCAATTATTCAGTTAGAAAGAGGACAGGTTAAAATCGGTTTGTGTCAGCCCCACTGTCTTTTTAACTCAGCAATGGTGAGGGAAAAATCCTTCAGGTCTTCAGTAATGGTACCAATATCCACACTCTGGCAAATCTTCAAAGTCCATTCAAGAACCATCAAGAGAACGGTTTAAAAAGTTTAAAAAGAAGGAAGAGTAGAAAGAAAAACTGGATTTGGAAGTCACAGAAGGAAGAGGGATTATCACTTCAACTTAGAGCTAAAGAGATCAATTAGAAAAGGCCCAACTCTATCCATATGACATTTGGTAAGTCAGAGAGGGGTTTCAGCTATGGCAGTCCAAGGAGCAGTGGAAAAAGATTTGAAAATTAAATACTACGTGAAACATGAGAAGCAATTTGGTACTCCAGGATAGAAAAGTTAGAACGCTAGAGAAGGCGTAGATCACCTTGAATAAGTTGGAAAATGATCCTGATATATATATATATATATATATATATATATATATATATATATATATATATATATATATATATGTATGTATGTATTTAAACTTTATTTCAATCTTTCATGAACATCCGATCCTTAGCAATGATTGATTAATGATGAACATGTCAAGCTTGGAGAATAAAAAACATTCTTATACATTCATCAAGTAGAGTGTAAAAATGTTATAAACCGGTTCAAAACTTAATCTAAAAATTGAACAATTTTGCTGTTACACGATTTGTATAATTTTGCTGTTACATCCGGGTTATACAAGTACTGTCAACTGAAATACCAAATATAATTTTTAAAAAAATTAAAAACTGCAATCCCAGTACAATATATGCCTACACCAACATTACGATAATCATATATATTTTTTTAAATTTAAATTACAAAACGGCCAATCTATACTCAGCACCTGAAGATTTCGAATGAAAGTGCGAGTTGTGCTATCGGTGTCGAATAATATATTTAATAATATATACTTAATAACTCTCTTGTATTATATCGCGCACTGTTTTACTGATTTACGCCAGCTATATATATATATATATATATATATATATATATATATATATATATATATATATATATATATATTATATATATATATATATATATATATATATATATATATATATATATATATATATATATATATATATATATATATATATATATATATATATATATATATATGTATATATATATATATATATATATATATATATATATATATATATATATATATATATATTTTGATATTAAAAACAGTATTGAGGAAACTGCAAGACAAAATAGAAAAAAAATTACTGGCGACTTCATCGGACTGAGTTTATTGCATGCTCATGAACGAGAGACGCTGTTAGTTTAACAATTTTTAAAGAATGTTTGCAATGATTGTTTTTTCTGATTTACCCATATTCATCTCCATTATTTTTCTTTTTCTTTCCATCATATTTGTTTATAAATATGGTGATAACAGAAAATCTACCAAGAATGGTGAAACCTTGTAAGAACCTTGACGTAAAATTACTGTGACTGAACTAGTGATTAAAGCACTTTCTAGAAATTTTCTCTCTCTCTCTCTCTCTCTCTATATATATATATATATATATATATATATATATATGTAAAGGGACAATATCAATATAGATAAAAGGAAAAGTTAACCAAAGCCTTTGTCCTTGATAAATTCCTCAGAGCACGAAACACGTTGGCTAATTTACGTTTTGTCTTTATTCATATATATATATATCATTCTTATCATAAAACTCAGGTTTTGTGCGTGATTGTGTGTGTGTGTGTGTGTGTGTGCGTTTATATATTGGATCGGATTTCCTACATTTTTCAACCGATTCAACAAAACTTCACAGGACTACGTAAAATTACCTTGCGATGTTTCTGACAGCACCAAAAATTGGAAAAACACAATTGTTTCTGCACGAAATCAATTTGAAAACACGATTAAGATGCATCGCTGTCGCGAGAATGATAGGGGGACAACTCATATCGAGTTATACTTATTATAAAACCCAGTTTTTTTTGGGGGGGGGTGCGTGTGTGTGTGTGTGTGTTCGTTTATATATGGGATCGGATTTTCTACATTTTTCAACGGATTTCAACAAAACTTCACTTTTTTTTGGCAGGTAGTGTTTCTTATTGTCTTGAAGACTTTTATCTTTATTTTTACATTCAGAATGCTTTAAAAATTCCATTTACAAGACAATTGTTTATAATAAAATTCTATTCAATCGGTAGACTCATAACGATTGAAAACAATGTTTTTGCTTGAGTTTGGGTTTAACCAATTCGTAAAAAAAACAAACAAAACAAAAACAACAAAAATAATTAAGACATGCGTGTCCGTCAACCTTACACAATAATCTTTGTCAATTTTATTTTTCCGTCTTTATGATGGTCGATATTTCTCTTACTGTTACATCCCCGGGTAACGCCGGACTCTACTTCTAGTATATATATAAGTGTGTGTGTCTGTGACACTGTCTGTGGGTATGCCTGTGTGTGTGTAATATATATATATATATATATATATATATATATATATATATATATATATATATATATATATATGAACTCTCCCTCGATTTCGACATATGAAGGTCTAGCAACACAGTTTCAACTTAATAGTGGTGAAGTCTAGTGCACACTTTTTTGCAAGAGCTGAATACAGAGAACTGCTGCAGAATGTGCTACAAGTCCCCAACCAACCCTCGGACAGGTTTTGAATTAATAGTTGTCCTTCTGCTAGACCGGTTGTCACCCAAGGCTTTAGAAATCAGTCTTCCCTTCCATTTACCCATAGCTGGAAGAAGAGGAATG